AKARAAAAARAASWAGAAGCAGGAGGACGAGGTTGAAGYTGTTAGGGGATAAAATGACCACAATATGTCACAAGGACGATAAAGATGATGCCAGATGATGCCAGATGATGCCAGATKATGCCAGGAGAGTAMGCTTACTTCTAATCCCTTTGTAAACGATAAGCCCTTGACTTAATTTGACTCCGTTGAGGAGGAAGCGGGGTGGGGAGAGSGGGAGCACAAATGGGGAAGAAGATGATGCGGAATAAAATTAAGGACGAGACTGGAATAAGAATTAAAATAAAGAAAAGAGAAGATGTGGGCCATGAAGAGGATGGATATCATGAAAGGGAAAAGTGGACTGTAAACGTCAAAGAGAGTTCAAAATTTTGTCAGTTATTAGGAACCTTGGACAACATCATAAAATATATTGGTTTTCAGCTCCGATAAACGGCCACTGGGGAAAATGGTCGACATGGAGCAAGTGTAGCGTGACTTGCGGCAAAGGTACTAGAACAAGAAAACGACTTTGTGACGATCCTTCGCCAAAAAACAAAGGCAAACGATGTGAAGGACTCGGYAAAGAGATAGGGAGATGTSAACTTAAACGATGTGGTCTAGGTAAGTTGTATGAATTATAAGAAACATGCATGTATGACACTTCCAGGTTTATATTTTGGTTATTTGAAATGATTGAATTAATTCAATTTGCACTGGCCTTCATTGCTTAAAATAAAAAAAAGACGCTTTTTTCTCATTCAGGAGCCGATGATTGTGAATTTGAATTTGGTATGTGCTCATGGTCTCAAGCTAATAAGTATAACACCTACGGATGGCATCGCCACAGTGGAAAAACATATACTGAAATGACTGGACCAGACGGCGATGCATCTRTCAAAAAACATGGAAAAGGTAAGTAGTTTGGATTAATCAAAYTAACTGAAACGTGCTGGARAGTAACATCTTTGASACCTGATATGGACATACCTAGCTGCGTCGTGCTTCTCTTGGAATCTGTTTTTATACCATCGGAAAATTGTTTTGTTGTCTTTTCAATGATACCTCAAGATGCTTTGCGGGAATTTTACTTTATGATATGCTGTAATTAATTAAGGGCTAGTGTGAGTCACAGTATGAACTTTAGATGCCGTAGACATGGCARTCTTATTGGGCGAAATTATCAACACACTTTACCATTTAAAGTAAGATTCGATTAGACGACACAACTTTTCCCTACAACTATTAGTCTAGAAGCCAAGTCTATCGCATGCGACCTGCGTAAGTCATCCTTACGACATGGCTACAACTGTCGTGAGGCCATTAAGCAATTGTTTAAAATCCCTASGACAGTTGTAGCCATGTCGTAAGGATGACTTACGCAGGTTGCATRCGATGGTTGTAAGCAAAMGTTGTGTCGTCTAAATCGGCCTTTACAAAATCGAATAACAAAATTGAAACTAAGGAAGGTGCAATTGGTCAACAGTTCTGACTAGACATGACATATGAGAGAACATCGATATTGATAATAAATATTTAAGGAATAAAAGACGAAATTCCGTGTTTGATACTCTGATCAAAACACGCGGGATGTAGGGAGAGCACGAGAGAAGCGTAGGAAACCACGACGCGTAGCGAGCGTGTTTTGATACTGTAATCAAACATGGTTTTCGACCAATCACAGCGCGCGTAGTATCCTAA